CGAAGGGCTTCTCTCCCGTGTGTGTGCGTATGTGCCTCCGAAGATTACTAGTGGTCTGAAATTTCCTGTCGCATTCTGAGCATTTGTGTTTGTAGTGCTGTTCTCCGGTGTGCACGCGAAGGTGGACCTGCAGATCACAGGAACGCGCAAACGTTTTGTCGCAGACCGTGCATTCGAAGGGCCTTTCCCCCGTATGAGTTACAAGGTGGTTTTTCAGAGACCCTCTTTGCGCGAATTTCCTTTTGCACAAGGTACACGCGTGTGGCTTCTCTCCGGTGTGCACCGTGAGATGAGTACGGAGACCCGACTCGTGCCTGAATCTCTTGCTGCACTCGGTGCACTCGAGGGACTTTTCTCCGGTGTGGGTGCGGAGGTGTTTAGCCAGAGAGTCGCTGGTCACAAACTTCTTGTCGCACTCGTTACACTCGAAGGGCTTCTCTCCTGTGTGGGTCCGCAGATGAGAACGCAAACATACACCCGTTCTAAATTTCTTATTGCACACACTGCACTCAAAGGGCTTCTCCCCTCCTCCTGTATGGCAGCGCAAGTGGCTCTTCAATTGTGCAATATCTGCGAATTTCCTTTCGCACACTGTGCACTCGTGTGGCTTCTCTCCCGTGTGGGTCCGCTCGTGTTTCTTGAGGTTACTGCTCGTCGTGCATCTCTTGCCGCACGCTAGACACTCGAACGCCTTCTCTCCTGTGTGGATCCGCTGGTGAATCTGAAGGCCACCGCTTTGCGAAAATTTCTTGCCGCACACTAGACACTCGAAAGGCCTTTCTCCCGTGTGCGTCCGCTGGTGAACCTGAAGGCTACCGCTCTGCGTAAATGTCTTGCCGCACTCTGGACACTCGAAGGGCCTCTCCCCAGTGTGTGTTAGGAGGTGAATGCGGAGGGCGCCAGGCCTCAGGAACGCCTTGCCGCACACTTCACACGCGTGCACCATCGTGGCCCTTAAACTAGTTGGCGTCCGTTCCTGCCGGAAAGAAGAGAAAAATGTCTGTAAATTTGGAGCACTGTGCTCCGGCCACCGTTCGGCTGCCGACGCCCGTGCGTACCCTTGTACTCGTTCACGTCCTTGGAGGCCGGTGGCGCCCTGGTGTTAGGCGAGCACGGCGACGGCTTCGCTCGGCACACTGGCAACAACTGCACCGAGAACCGGCTGACTCCTGCCGATGCCGAGCCGACGGCTGTCGCCTGACTGTGACTGAGCAGGAGACTGAGACTGCTGCTGCTGACTCGGGACTCGGACTCGGCACTCGGCTCGGGTGCGACCCCGACGTCCGCCCGTCGTGGCGGTCGGTTCAACCGACTCGGACGGCGGCCGCCAGGCTTGCCACTCGGCGCGGGCGAGCTTGCCTTCGGTTGGGTGTATCCTCCTCCAACCGTTCGGTCAAGGTCATTGTCATGGTCATTAATGCCATGACATCAAAAGACCTCCAAGCTCTGTCTCTCAGCGACTCACCCGCGGGGATGCCGGGGCGGGTCGCGAAGGGAAGCGAACTGGGGGCTGGTGCATGGAAGTAGAATGCACCGAGGGGTCCCACACTTCCAAAATAGGTGCACACAACGAGTTGGCGAGTTGCCGCGAGTAAGGCACGATTTGGGATCAATTTTTTGAGAGTTTTGTGCTGTTTTTCGCAAAATTAGCGCGAGTTTTCGCAAATTTTCATGAGTTCTTGCGAGTTTTCAGGAGTTTTTGCGAGTTTGACGCGAGTTGGGCTCGGGCAAGTGTACAACGAGTTGGCTAGGGGGGAACCCCTCGGAATGCACTGGTCTGGTGAGTCCTGCCTCCTGCCTGCCGCCTGGATGAAAACCCACAAGCAAGCAGTGCGAGGGGGTCTTCTCGCAGTGTAGCATCCCCTCCCCCTCCCCACTGTCTCCCAACCTCCCTCATCCCCTGTCTTAGGATTGGAAATTTCCTAAAATTTCCGGAAAAATTCAAAAAGAAATTAAAAAAAGGCTAAAGTGATGAAAATTTTCCCCTTTTTTTCTGAAAATTTTCGAAAACTTTCCGGAAACTAGGGCTACCTTGTCTCGGTATACTGTCTCTCTCTCTCTCTCTGTCTGTCTGTCTGTCTGTCTGTCTGTCTGTCTCTGTCTCTGTCTCTGTCTCTGTCTCTCTCTCTCTCTCTCTCTCTCTCTCTCTCTCTCTCTCTCTCTCTCTCTCTCTCTCTCTCTCTCTCTCTCTCTCTCTCTCTCTCCGCTACTTCTCATTCCAATACAATATGCATCTCTACTTTGCTGAAATTTAATGTTAACCATCGGGTCGACGTCCACCCCTCGAAAAAAAATAATTGCGTAACCGATGTTACACACGCACATACGAACGTATAACCAAGAGCATTAAATAATGTTGCATAGAGTGATTTTCAGTGATCTCTTTCACCTCTCTTCTCCTCTGTCTCCCCCTCCCCCTCCTCCCTCTCTCTAAATGCAAAACGCGTCTCTACTGGTTCATGTCTAATTTTAATCATTTAGAATACAATTTGAACGTACAAAAATAAACAAAGCCAATGGAGAAAATGTGAAAGGTGTAGTCATTTATTTCAGAGCGCGCCACCAACCACGGTATGGGTATCTATAGTAAATGCCTCCGGAGGTGGGTCATCATGTTGCCCAGCTGGGCGAATGCCTTGCCGCACTCGGTGCACTTGTAAGGCTTCTCTCCCGTGTGGGTGCGAAGATGCCGGCTCACTCCACTTCTCTCTGCAAACTTCTTGTGGCACACGGCGCACTCGAAGGGCTTCTCTCCCGTTTGAGTTCTGAGATGGCTCCGCAGATGGCTGCCATTCACACACTTGACGTCGCACTCCGAGCACTCGAACTTCCTCTCTCCGGTGTGGACCAGGAGATGCATGCGGAGATGCGACTGGCGCCCGAATCCCTTGCGGCACTCGGTGCACTCGAAGGCCCTTTCTCCGGTGTGGACGCGGCGGTGCAGAGCTAGATAGCCCCTCGCCACAAACCTCTTGCCGCAATCCGTGCACTCGTAAGGCCTCTCTTCCGTGTGCGTACAGCGGATGTGCATAGTCAGCGTGTTGCCGTGTGCAAACTTCTTGCGGCACACCGGGCACTCGAAGGGCTTCTCTCCCGTGTGAGTGCGAAGATGGGAACGCAGAGAGTCTGCCTTCAAACACTTAAAGTCGCACTCCGTGCACTCAAATAACTCGGACTTGCTCTCCCCGGTGTGAGTCCGGACATGTGTGCGGAGATACGATTCTTGCCTGAACCGCCTGTGACACACGGCGCACTCGAAGGGCTTTTCTCCGGTGTGGGTGAGGATGTGATAAGCTAGAGATTCGCTGCTCACGAACTTCTTGTGGCACTCGGTGCACTCGTGAGGCCTGTCTCCCGTGTGGGTTCGCTGATGTGTGCGTAAATGACTGCTTTGCGAAAACTTCTTGTCGCACACGACACACTCGAACGGCTTCTCCCCAGTGTGCGTTCGGAGATGAGTTTTCAGTTTGAATTTTACAGCAAATGCCTTTTTGCACACACCGCACTCGAAGGGCTTTTCTCCAGTGTGGGTGCGCATGTGTATGCCAAGAGCACTTCTGCTCGGCCACTTCCTGTTGCATACAGAGCATTCATGTTTATACTGCTCTTGTCCCGTGTGCACGTGAAGGTGGGTTCGCAGATTGCTGGATTGCGTAAACTTCTTGTCACACAACGCGCACTCGTAAGGCTTCTCGCCCGTGTGGCTGGTGAGGTGCGCTCGCAGACCGCCAGTGGACACAAACTTCTTGTCGCAGACCGTACACTCGAAGGGTTTGGCACTGGCGTGAGTGAGGCGGTGTGAGCGCAGCTGGCCTCTGTCTGAAAACTCCGCGTTGCACAAACCACACTCGAATGGCGGCCCGGCGTGCATGCGAAGTTTGTGCGCTTTCATGCTGCTGAGTGCCGTGAATCTCTTGTCGCACAGAGAGCACTCGTAGGGCTTTTCTCCCTTGTGCCCCCTAAGGTGTGCGCTCAGGCTCCCGCGATCCGCGTACCTCTTGTCGCACACCGCACACCCGAAGGGCTTCTCCCCGGTGTGGGTGCGGAGGTGATTATTCAAAACTCCTTTCGTGGCGCTCCTGTAGTCGCACTCGTTACACCCGTAAGGCCTCTCTCCAGTGTGTTTCCTCATGTGGACGGCGAGTTTGTACTTCGTCGCAGCCTTCTGCCCGCAAACATCGCATTGAATCGGCATGGTGATGTCCGCCAGGAGTGTCTGTAAAAAAAAAAAAGACATTTTAAAGTGACTATTCTTTAATTTTTGTTTACACATATTCCCTTGAATGACGTCGCGGACAGAAAATGGCGGAGCAAGTTCTGGTACACCCCACACTATTGCCCTGGCCTGCACTGTGAAAACCTACATTCAACCCCAGTTTAACACTACAGTACTCTTACCAAACTCGCTGTCACTTTGGGCGAGCGTGTGCACAGGACTAACGAACGAACACGCAACCTTGTCGTAGGGAACGTTACCTGTGGTCGGGTGGTGTCGGGTCCCGGTCACTCTACGGCCAGGTGAGCCGCACTTGACGAACGCGTCCAGCTTGCGCCGCGCCGGTCAGCCAACTGACTGACGGTCAGTCACTGACCCCTGCCGACAGCTGCTGCAGCCCGACTGAGACTACTGACTGAACTGACTCGGGTCGGGTCCGCCTCGCCTCCGTGCGTGTGATCTTCAGAGCAGAGTCACCCGGGGTGCTGCGCTGTGCCGGGGATGGCCCGGGCCGGGAGCCTTTGCCCGGAGGGGCTGGGGGATATCCCCCGGGGCGGCCGACGGAGCGAGGTGGGTCGCGAGGGTCGTGCTAGCTGCAAAACTTCAACTTAAAAAAGAGGGTTATGCTTCGCCAAAAATGTAGTGCGAGCAATTCGGTCGGGTGCTTTGCAGACTACGACGCGTGTATCCAGTGGGTAGGGTAGTACGTATTCCGAATCGTTCGCAGCATATTGGCGAAGCGTTTCGTAGCAGTTTTCACGAGAGGGGAGGGG